CCACCCAGTCCCACGGTGAGCAAGGTCAGGACAGCCACCACACCGCCACGGTGAGGCTGGTGGCGTCCCTGGCGGGTGACAGTGGGACTGTTGTCCCAGTGTTGACCAGAGCAGCATCCTGGGGGCCTTGGGGGGCTTTACACGTGCAGGTCCTGAAACTTCTCTCACTGGCCTCCTGCCAGACAGTACCACACGTTAACTAAATTCTGGAGGAATGTTCCAGAATCATCTGTGGCTGAGCAGCCATTAGAGTGCTACCCTTCCCATGAAACGTACTCACAGCCTCGTTCTCCCTGGCATCCAGTACTTGCCCAGCAGCTCAAGGCTGGGCTTTTTCCAGCAATGCACAGTGCTGCTTCTGGAAACATCTTCTGTTTCCTTCTTGACCAGGGGTTCCCTTTGGCAAAAAAGACCCCGATGGTCTTTTCACGTCCAGGGATCAACGGGAGATTTCCTCCCCTAAGCACCCATCAGCCCTCAGACAGCACCGGCCCCAGCACCGACCGCTGCCTGCCTTCTGTCTCCAAGCCCCTGGCCTTCTGGCATCGCTGTCTTGGAGGGACACGTGTGTCCCTGCAGTGAGGGGGCTTGGCCTGAGCTGCTGAAGGGGGAAGAGAGGACTTGGTTAATGTGACCTCTGAGCTCACTTTGCAAGTGTTCAGATCGCAGTGAGTTTGATAGCTGCCGGGGTGTAAATACATTTTACGCACCTAGCGCAGCCGTGGTGGGTTACAGGGTCAGTCTCCGTGTGTGGGTGTGGATCGCTCACCCAAGAGGCAGACTAAGCGAAATCGGCAAGCTTTTGAGCAATATGCATTGTAGACCACACTCGAGACAGCGAAAGGGATCCACGCCCAGCACCGGGCCTGCAGGCACAGCAGAGGTTTTCACAGATCCTCAGTGAATTTGCAACAGTAAGCAACTCCAGAAAAGGGCACAGGGACAAGGGACCCAGGTAGGAAGAGACGTGCCTCCTGCTCTGTGTCCTTCTGTACCACAGACATTCTACCGTATACATAATAGCTCACTCCCATCAGTAATAACTACTCTAAAGTAACGGTGAATGCCCGCCTCCAGAGACACAGAGGAAGACAGGATTCAGAATGCGGGAGGCAGCAGGTGTCACGGGAAGAAAGTGGGCTTCCAGGTCAGCGAGACTTGGCTTTGAGTCCCTGCCGGAACAGGTTCCTTTGCGTGGAAATGGTGTGGCGCCTCTAGGATACGGGGACGGCCATTCACATCGTCTTCTTCGCGTTCCCCGTGTCCTGGCCTCGTTCTAAATGCTTCAGGGAGCATAACGTTTAATCCTCACAAAACGATACGAGCCGGATTCGGTCACGGTAATCATCTCCACGTAACACAGCTGGAAACTGAGGCCCAGGAAAGTTACCTGCCCACGGTCAGAGGGTGAGCCAAACGCGGGTGGCCGGGCCCCAGAACACAGCAGCAGGATCCGGCCTGTGAGGGTTGTAGAGAGAGCACAGAACACTTCCCGTGTCTTTGGGGATCCTGGGCCCTGGGGCCCTGGGCCGGAGCCTCTGTGGTCCCGGACCTCGGATCTGTCCTTGCTGCAGATGCAAACCAGACGGACGGCATAGACGGCACCGAGTCTGGTGACCAAAGTGTGGTCTAATTTAGGCACCCGGTGCCCTGAGTGCCCTGATGCCAGCACTGGAGGGGTTTAGGAAATCCATTGCTCGGGCCGACTCCAAGCCGCGTGCGGTGCCCGGGCCGTGCTGGGTTTGGGGGGGGGGGGGGGGGGGGGGCCGACCACCCCAGCGGCGAGTGACCTGTCCCCGCCTTCCCCGCAGATCTACCCCGACGAAAGCCATTACTTGCACAGCGCCTCCCTGCACCAGCACCTGTACCGGTCCATCATCAACTTCTTTGTGGAGTGCTTCCGGATTCAGGACAAACTCCCCGCAGCCACAGCGAAAGAAGAGGAGGAGGAGGACTGACCCGGGAGCCAGAGCCAGAGCCAGCCCTGAGCACGGCGGGGGCTCCCCCTGGAACAGTGTGCGGCCGGGACCCTGCCCCCCTCTCCCGCAGAGGCCGGGCCGGGGCAGCAAGTGTGATTTCCATAGCATGTGTCCCGAAGGCGGTTTTGCTTCAGAAACCAGCTCCTTCCCAGGCCGAGACGCGTCATCGCCCCCCGAGGGCCCCTCCCCGCCGCGCCTGGAGCCGCCGCCGCAGCAGCATCGCCTCCTCCTGGCCCCAGGGTGACCGGTGCATCCCCCGGCCCCTCCCCAAGGAACGAAGGACGGACAGCAATGCAGAAACCGGCCCTTAAATCCCAGCTCTCCCGCAGTAGCGCAAAGACCCGCCCTGGCCAGCGGCCGCGTCCACATGAGCAGTTTTCCACCCTGTCTGATACACCCACGCCATGGAAACGACTATAGCACAATCATTTTAGCAGTACTTGTTCATAGATCGGCTCTCTCCTTTCTGTAATTCGGAGACCCGGCGTTGTCAGGGCTGAACCCGGTGTTCCCGTAGCTTCGCTAATGGTTAACCTTACGGAATTAATTCGTATTTTTCTATGGTTTTTACCTGGCACTGTCTCGGGTCACGGGCTGTCTCTCCTTCTTTGTGTCTCTCCTTCTTTGTGTTCTTTCTTGGCTTTGTTTGCTTTCTGTTCTTCGGTCCCCGTGTAGGCTTTGCACTTGTTTGGATAAAGAAACACATCAGAAGCAACAAACTGCTCTCTCCTCAAGATTGTCTTGAGACTTTGTGCAGAAATTTCAAAAACCTGAGGGGAACGAACATCCAGTACTACACTAAAAAAAAAAAAAAAAAAAAAAAAAAAAAAAAAAAAAAAAAAAAAAAATCCTAAATAAAACTTCTTTCCCACGAAGCTGCATTGGGATTTGGCTCAGACTCGCACTATCCACGTATGTCTTGTAGCCTTTTTCCCCCTGATACCTTGTCAAGGCTTTTCAGATGGCATTTGGTTAAAAAAAGGTAAAAAGACTAAGGGTGGACTCCATCCCCAGGTCTGTGCGCGTGTTCAGGGGACAGGCCAGGGAAGCCTGGGCGCGGGCGGTGGCCTCCCGCCCCGGGGACGGCTCGGTGGCCCCGCCACCGTGCGCCAGCAGCCTGTCCACGTGTCACACACCCTCCGATGGGACGAGCCCCCGGTGCTCCCGGTGTCTATTTCATTTCGTTGTATATAAAGACGGGATCGGGCCCCGGCCCTCCACCAGCTCATTTCGCCTGCATGCCGCCGCTCTGTGGCTGACCCGCACTCCCCACCAGTGCCAGTCGGAAATGCATCGATCACTCTTGTTTCCCTCGGAGCTCGTCGACCACCTGAACGGCAGTACTGACCTCTCCAGCGTCCGGTCCTGCCGGGGGGGCCTTGACGTGCCGTCGGCAGAGATTTGTCCGCGTCGCTTTTCGGTGTTTGAGGGCGTGGGTCTCGTCTCCGCGAGTTTGCAATGTGAGTTGCGGTTAGCGCCATTGGAGGGTCTCCGTCACCGGATTTTTTCGGGTGAGACGTCGTCACTTGCGAAAAGGACGACGCGTGAGCAGCCGGACCGCTGTGAGTGCTACGTGACCGTGCTTTCGCTGTTCTCAGCGGGCTTGACCGACTGCAAAGCCGACTAGGTCCGACAGGGGAAGCCAGCTGTGGCCGCGAGATCTGGCAGGGGGGGAGTGAGCATGTGGCATACTAGCGTTTGTTCATCCATGGAATAAAACATTATTTTACCACTCGGATAGCTCTTTTCTTGCTTATCCTCCACCATCTCTGCTTAGGAAGTGTGCAAAGCGTCAAGTGTCTCAAGGTACTTACTGAGCCCCAACCATGGATGCATGTCCCCAAGAGCCTGGTGGGCGGCAAATAAAAACCGCACCTGTGGCAGTGGGGTACGGACGGAAGGACAGGACCACTCGAATATGTCAAAAGTCCCAAACCAACCAGAGAAAATGAATTTCAGTCGCGTCTTTAAAGTTTTAGGGTGAGGACACAGATATTCCCTAACACTAAGAGCAAACCTCTCAGTCGAGACCACAGCATTGCCCGCTAGAAAACTAGGAAAACCTCCATCTCGGTGGCATTCCCTGGCACATGGGCTGCCTTGCTCTCAGAGGTGTGCACGAGGGGGTGGGGGGCGGAGCTCTAGCCTCACTGGCCTGAAAACACGCCCCTCCCTCTCCTGCCTGACTTAGCAGTATCCGAACGATGATTTTGTGAAGGCTTGATTGCCTTCTGGAAGCCCTGTTAAAGCCCCAGTGTCACAGAGGGACTGGAAAGACATTTCAGGCCTCCTCTGGCCGTCTTCCGTTAGCATGTGGTGTGAGTTCTTAGGATAATCACAGGAGACACCGGGAAGCCTGGTGAGATACTGGATACGCAGACAGAGGATGTCCCCAGATCATATGTAAACACAGAGCTCTGACCCCCAACCCACGGCCACCAGTCGGGGAAGCCAAGCCACGGTCTGCAGCAACCAGCCCCAAACGGCCAGGCCTTGATCAACACCCGCCAGCTTCCCTCGCTCTCACCCCCACCTCCAACTTAGGACTGACGGGGAAAGCCAAATACACCCCCCCAACCAACCGCCTAGGATTCTGCTTCTGGTCAGCCCTCCTGACTTCCCCACGCCCACGGCCCCCAGCGGGGCGCACCTGACCCCCTTTTCCACGGTGCAGCTCCCCTCTGCCAGCTCGGAGTCCCCCCCCTCCTCCCGCCCCAGCACAAGGGATGGAGACTGAGCCCCGGAGCTCCGCGCTCCAGCCGGCTGGGAGCTCGTGGCCCTGCTCTCTCTCACGCTGGTGGTGTCTTAGTCCGCTCAGGCTGCCGTGAGAAAACCCCACAGACGGGGCACTCACACAATGGGAATGTACTTCTCACAGTCTGGAGGCTGGAAGTCCAAGATCAAGGTGCCGGCTGATCCCGTGCCTGGTGAGAGCTGTCCTCCCCGTTCATAGACGGCCGCCGCCATCTGGCTGCGTCCTCACAGGGCAGAGAGGGAGGGGCCGGGTGGGGGAGGGCGCTCTCTCTTCCTATCAGGGCGCTAACCCCACCATGGGGTCCCACCCTCATGACCTCATCTAAGCCTAATTTCCTCCCAACGACCCCACCTTGTAAAACCACCACCCTGGGGGTAAGATCCCAACCTACGAATTTGGGGAGGATACAAATATTCCGTCCCTGGCAGGTGCTCTTTATTTAGTTTCCGGCTGGCAGAAAACAGGTGTTGGAGAGGATTTGCTGAGGAGCGGGTGGGAGCCCTGGGGGTCAGGAGGAGGGAAGGAGGGGGAGGAAGGGAGAGGGACAGGGACACGAGGGGAGAGAGGGAGGGAGGGGGTCCAACCCCGGGGACACTGCCTCCGAGCGGGGCTCCCCAGAGAGTCGGGATGGGCCCTCCTGCAAACCACAAGCTGCAACGCTGCCATCGGCCCCCGAGCCCCGTCACTCACTGCACAGATCGGATCGGGGAGCTAGAGCCCAGGGGAGGCAAGGCGGCTGCCCCCCAACCCAGAAAGGCAGCAGCACTAGGTGCTTCTTCCCCTCACTGTTTTCTCGTGGGGAGAAGCTCCAAAGGCCAGGTTCCCGAGCCTCACGGGCGCCGCTGGGGCTCTCGGCCTCGCCAGCTCTGGGGGCCCAAGCCCCCGGCCAGCACGGAGCCGGCCTCGGTGGAAACGGGTGTCAACGTCTGGGTTCCGAGCAAACCCCAGGTGGGGCCTCCTTGCTAGGAAGTCTCGCGTTGCATCAGTGGTGGCAGTTCTGCCGTTCTGTTTCCCGGGCTGGGATCTGGAGCGACACAGGGGAGCGGAACGGCCCCAGTCAGCCGCACCCTCTACAGCGCGGCCCTCGAGCCGTGGTGCTCACCAGAACCCGCGACGGCGCTCTGCAAAGTAGACCGGAAGCCCCAGGACACGGACGCGCCCGTGTGCACCCGTCTGCACTTGAGAGGCACCACGCTGAACGCCGCGGCTCCGGCTGGTCTCTCTGCCCCAATTCCCCTTGAACCCAGAACCCACCACCTCACAGAGGCTTCCCATTTCCTGTGGGCCCGTGTCCGAACTCCTGAATCATACCTTACAGTGCCCCCAACCCCCAGGCCCAGTTTATCTCACAGACTTCCCCTCCCCTGACTACCCTGCACACGCGGCCCGGCCACGCGGACAGGCTGTCCTCTCCCTGCGCGAACCCCACACGCCCCTGACCCTACACGCGCTAGCTGCCTTTACCGCGACTTCCCCTTTCACAACAATGATTCCCAGCCGCTCGGACACCCCGGCCTGGATCATCGGCGGCCGTCCTGTGCAGGCAGGGAGCTTAGCTGCTCGCTGCCCTCTATTTACCAGATGCACTATTTACCATGACAGTCAAATATGTCCCCCAACATCGCCCCATGTCCCGTGGGGAACATCACCCCAGTTGAGAGTCAGATCTGTTTAGATGCTAGGCCAGGTTCACGGGCTAACTGAACAACCCTGCACTTGCCCAACCCTGGGAGGCGGCATCGCCTTGGACCTCACAGCCTACGTATCTTATCTTACCTGCCTCGTCTTAGGGCCCAGCCTTACTGCACAAAGCCTTCCCTCGCTTCTGTTCTGGAAGGTGTCGAGAGCTCTATGCCCATAGAGAGTTTATTCTGACTCGTCAAATATCTGTTTGCTAGATCTGAAGCCCTGGGAGGGCTCTGCTTCTGCTGGGGCTCCTGAGGCCTGACTCCTGTGACCAAAGAAGACTGCCGAGGTGACCGCGGGCCTCTCCAGGCTGGGCCGTTACAGGTACTGAAGCTTCTGCCTCGTCTCTGGGATCAGGCTGTGAGGACGCTCAAGCAGCCCCAGGTGAGGAGCTGAGGTCTCCCCCCACAACACCCAGGACGCACGAGGGCACCGCTTTGGAAGTAAGTCCTCCGGCCCCATCAGTCCTACGGAGGCTGGTGGCCGGAATCTGCCAGGCAGGCCACGCTCGAGTTTCCAACCCTTAGAAACGGAGCTG